TGAGAAGCATTCTGTCAATGACTTGTGTCATCAAAGAATGACTACTCCTTCACTTGACAGATCGTCTCTACGACTCGTCGCTTACATTACTCGGTGAGTGCTAACTAACGCGTCTATTGTCCAGACAGTGCACGGCTCTTAACTAAGCGATTAGTGTAATCCGATACTGGAGGTTCTACGTTCTATCTTCTAGGACATGATCTGTTTCTCTAACAGTTTCTTTACAATAACATTTTATATATAATTATCTTAATTTAATTTGATTTCATTTAGCTCGTTCAGGTACCCTATGGGCCCATGTAGGTATATCTAGCTATAATATTTACGAGGGAGGAAACCTATTCAATAAAAACTCCCGCAAAACTGTCTGTCTCGTGTCTATTGGTTTTCTGAGGTTTCCTATGGGAAGTGCGTTTATACTGCTTATACAATGTGAATTCCGTCTTATCCTTGTCCATATCGTCTCATTTTTCGTCCAATGCTGTTTCTGCTTCTCCTGCAAGCAGGAATTGTTCAAACCATCCTTTTTCCAGGATCCATTTTGTGATTCTCTCCATATCATCTGGGCTGTCCATCATTGCCGCAAATGACCTATCTTTTGCCTTTCGAAGCACCTCTCCTCTTCCCATTGCCCACTGAGGACACGCCAAGACCATATGTTTGACATTTTGGATTAATCACTCCGGGGACTTTCCTTCGGTATAGATAAGAATTGAGACCAATTTGCTCGCTTCTCATCTGAACTGCAATACTGCTTTGGGCCCTGGTAAGGATCCGGTGGATATTTGAGGATGTGTTTCTATAGGTAATCCTTTTTCTGCCTGTTGTCTCATCTGTAACAATATTTAGGGCTTTCCAATGTTCAGGGTCTACCGAAGCTCGATGACCAGATCGTATCTCGTTCCCTGGACGTGTCCATGAGTTTTTCCACTCCTGGAACGCAGCCACTAATTATCGTTGTTGTTATCTTAGTTAGAACAAATTATGTTGCGGATAGTTTACAATTACAGAAAATGTGAAATGCTAAGCAAGACACGTGATACAAATATAGTTATATCACATGACTTTCAACAAAAAATTGGTAGCAAGGAAAACTACGTACGCGGGAAAAAAGTCTCAGATAACCTGCAGCGCCAGCCAGGCGAGGCCTAGACACCGGGACCACACGAGGTGCGCATATTCATCTATATCTTCCTTCTTTGTAACAGTCGAGGCCAACTTGATTCAATCCACCATTGCCGTAATGGGTGCTGAATATGCTCCGGAAACTCATCGCATGGCTTTTCCTCTATGGTCAATGGTTAGTGATAAGAGGGGCTTCGACCCTAACACCAGATCTGATGGTGGTTAGCTTCATGATAATGGTGATAGGGGGTTATGTCAGAGACGATGTTCGGATTAGGTCCTGATCAACAATGTCTAGCCTAATTGTGCTATGTTTCAGGCTACTGTTACAATTATTCATGGGGTCATCATCAGGGTTGTGAGTAGTTTTGGTTTGGTGTGGGTTGTTAGATTGATACCTGAAATTGTCATACAGTATTCAGGCACGCAACTCAAGTAGCAAAATGCACGGTAAAGCTCAACCCCAAAATAATGATACAAATCAAGTTTTATAAGCTACGTCCTGTATGGCTAGCGCGGTTGGAATATGGAAAATTTACCTGTAGATAGATAAAGACGTTGTAACCCTCTGATAGTTGGGACAAGTCTTCTAACAAATAATGTCGGAGCCAATCCTAGCATCTCATTAAGCAATCTCATGAATCCATTCCCGTGTCTATGATTACAGACATACATATACAAATGCGACGATCAAGTTCAAAGTCGATAAGATGAAGACGATACGGACCCCAATAGCGATTAGGATCCTCATGGAAGTGAGGACAGTTTGACTCAATTTCGGCTCTGCAGACTCTACAGTGAGAGGTGGAGTTTGATAGGGGATACCACTGACAGGTGTTGAGAATAGTCCCCAAATACACAATAAGTGAATAGGACAATATAATGCAGCTGCTACGCATGTAGAAATCTTGTATTCAAGAGGTAGGCTTCCTCTAGCACTCCCCTTGAGTTTGGCTGTAATTAATGCTGCTGTTTTATATACATTGGTTCTCGCAGGAACCCGATGACTCCAGCTTAGCTGAGTCCATTTTAAGGCTTTGCAACCTCATAATCCCCGCACGCAATTTGACCAAAATCAACCCAAATTACACGCTGAAAGTACGCATTATTAGATACACTACATGGCGCTTAAAGATGTTGAATCAATACTTGGAGTCTGTGTAACGAGCCTCGATAGTTGAGTGAGACACATTGAGCCGCTCATTTCTCCTGTTGCAACATTCTCGTATTATCTCGGCTACCTACAAAATTAAGCAAGTCCAGGCGCTACACATCACTTGAGATGATGTATGACTTTGAGTCAAGTAGTACTGTTACATTTAGTCTATTCGCACTTTGATATGTCACGTAGTACTTCGAAAAACGCATTTTGATAGTTTCAACCCAATAGTTCGGTTCAGACAATGATAACTGCTGACGGATATGACTCCACATAGACCTCAGAACAAAATTGGTTCAAAGATTTCTCATTAGAAGTTAAGAGTGTATAATCCTAGGAGATTTGAGCTGCTTGTCTACAGATATATATAGAATTACAAGCCTGCTATATCAGTGGTCATTCATTAGATCATGAGCTGAGTGGAGTTAAAAGTTGTATATTTCATTGTGGTGTGAAGCACTAGATGTTGTTAGACAAGAGTAGCTGGTATTTGAGAACCATTATACCGCTATACGCCGGCTAGTTTATCACATCCACCTGACTGTTGTTGAAGAGTATCTGGACAAGAGAGCAATGAGTGTTGACCACATAGTTGGCGAGAGCGTATCTTAGTTTTTCAATACATGGACGATTTCCAATCACAAGCTAGTGTAGTTTAGAAAATATCAGCAATTCTCTTCATGCCAGTCTCAACCAATCTTCCATTATAATCGGAGTGGTCGAGGTAGCTCTGTTACATTAATCTCTCTTTGTCGTTTAATTGCGGATACGACTCGATATACTTTCCAAATGTTTTGAGGCTGCGAGTTTCACAAGTATGAATTTCCGCTAGCTTTTTTTAGAGAAATGCAATTCTTATTATTTGTAAAATGAAAACATCAAGTTTAGATTCAACCCAAGGATCCGTTGCCTTCGCCCCTCGTTCTTACACATACGAGATGGCAGTAATTTTTATTTTGAAGGGAGCTGCCGATCTACGCAGCTGCACAAGGACTCTTAAACTGAAATTTTCTATTCTTTGGTATTTATGCTCATGAATTCTTTCTTTATTAACACTAATAACTCGATACTGCAGTATATTGCTTGAGTAAGGGTGTTCTTGGGGCCCTTCAATGTAGCCTTCTTGAATACCTGCAATTCCCACTCCAAATTTAGATGACCTGAGTTACCAACGGAAGCCGAACTTGGCTTGCTCGACATACTCCAAACGACCCAAGCCCACATGATTGGTTAAATCTCATCGGATCAACCATTAAACTTTCTATATTTCAAAAGCTCAAAATTTCAATTCTGCCCAGGCCTGATAATAAGTACTCTGTGGGGAAATGCAAAGTGATTAACAGCAGTCGTTAGGTTTAACGCTATCATGACGGAAAATTCCGTCCTCCCTCACACAGCTATCCATCCGCGAAAGACTAGCAGGCTTATGGTACGTTTAAACACGACAGGTCCCCCAAGGGTGACCAGAACAGACCCTTTTTTGGACTGGGGCTTAATGAGAGAAGAATGTGCGGCATAGCAATAAGGGATGCACGACTTTGCAAATCATGCGTGGTACCAGCGGGATCATTAGTAGAATCGCAAATTCAGGGTTCAGTTCCTTCGCCCTTTTTGGTTGCCGGTCAAGGAGCTCGTGCAGGGGGTTATCCTGGCCAGTTCGGACGGATCATGACATCCCTCCCTGTAGCTTTTCGAGCGGGGAACAAGAATAGGATGATACGGCTAAAAACACTAGCCGCGGGAAAATAAACTGACAGGGCTATCGATCAAAAAAAAATCGTGTATGATGTAGATGATGAGCAAGATACATTGTTGGCGATGAACTATCTCTGCATTGGAAATAAATGAATATTATTGACTCAGGTAAATAATATAGAAGATTATTCAGTCCTTAGCAACGACAATCATTCGGGCAATTGAGTCGCTCATCCGCTCCTTCCTTATCAGTCCGACAGATTTACCTCTGGTCCGAGAACAACTGTATCCTATGCCATTTTCTTCCCAGCCTACGCCCCCCTCACCTTCAATCTATCTCTATTTCTTGCCCTCACCCACCCTGTCTGTCATTTAGCTAAAGTTGTCCCCATGTCAACGATAATAAAATTTAGCAAAGAGCTGTAGTTGCGCCACCATCACAGGTAGGATCAGAGACGGGTGGCGGCGGCGCCTTGGGAAGGGCTGCGTGTTACGCGAGGAAAGATACAGAATTGTGCGTCAAAGAGAGATAGACTGGGGCGTTAAACTATTTTCAGGCCCAAATCTCAACTCTCAGTTTAGTCTTCTTGCTATTACTGTTTCTACCGTCGCCAATTTCCATTCTGCCGCCATCCCGAGATATCTTTATTCGCCATCCCTTCTACACACCGGTTTGCCGCAACCATCAAATTTTCGCTGATTTTTTTCGTATCACAAACCAAAACTATCATTGTCACTTGGCTTTGTGGGATGCGCAACAGTTCCCCTCTACATTCACTAGGGCTTTTACGAAATCTTTCTTTAATTGAGTAATTCAACCTCTTTGGATTCATCCGACGCCTTTTACAACACTGTAAGGTTACAGAGGAGGAGTATCGTGACGGATATCTCTGTGCTCGTTGTATACTTTTCGGAGACATATCATCATCTAAATCGGAACCAATTTTACACCTTTCCCTAACACTCACTTTGTTATACAAGCCTCTTATTACCTACTGCTTCAGGTTTCGATACTTACAGTATGGCATCATCTGCTACTACTCAGAAACCACCTGCAGGCCTTGCTGGAGTACTCAATGGCCCGGAAAACCCGCGCGACTCGGCGTATTTCTCGGCCAAGGATCCCGCCAGCAAGCGTAAGGCCCTTGGTCATTGTTTACCTCTGAATTATTCTGATTATCTCTAGACAATTCAACCCAGTCATCCACCCATGAGCCACAGAATTCTATCAACCAGATCTCTCGGAAAGATATAACATCCACCGCAGAAATCACTACCTCAATCTCTACCAGTACACACACTCAAATTAACTCACCACCCTCTCGCGCTATGAGTGTCGCCTCAATTGTCTCCCCTACCCGTTATGGACTACCCCAGACTCTCCATGAATTGGCTTCGCACAACTCGGGGATTTCCCTAACTTCGGCTTTTTCGGCACTTGGTAATAAAGATGATTCGCGCAGAGAATCTGTTGATAGTAGATTAAGGGCAAATTTTGGAGACATGCGCCTGGCAAACTCCCCTTGCGCCAGTGCGAATCCGTCCACCACTTCCCTCCAAAGCACATTGGCACAACAGCGTAATCCTGGCACTTCTCTCCCTGATCGTAACTCAGGGTCTATTCGGTTGTCCAATGGATATCATCACAGTTACCAGCGAATACCTGATACACCTATGATTGTGTCAAGGACCGCACCTCTAATTACAGGTCCAGCACTAGGAGCTATTGCTAGAGCTTCAGAACCGACCAAAGGACAGGCGTGGGCATTTCCCGAGGAACCAGTACATCGAATTCCATCTTCAATACATCAAAGTGACGAGACATCGAATCGTCATGTGAATTTTAACTATGATGAATCCCGTCGCAACTCGTTTACTGACTCAATTGCAAGTAGTCAGCATACTGCTGAGTCACGACTGCCACCTGGGCAGCGAAGACTAGAAGATGGGGTCCTTTCAGAACAAAATCGAGGAGAGCCATCGGAATATCAAGTTTCGACACACCATCACAGTTTACAATATCGGCAGTTTGGCGATCTACAAGCCGATGGAGACTCGCAAAACGGCGCCCAACCTTACTCCAGAACTCCAGAACTTCGAGTGTCGCACAAGCTTGCTGAAAGAAAAAGACGACTCGAAATGAAAGATCTCTTTGATAACCTTAGGTCACTCCAGAGTGTTGAGCGTGGGGCTAAGGCATCAAAATGGGAAATTCTTTCCAAAGGTACGCGTTTCATACAGGCATTACACCAGCTTCACTCCCTTTCGCCTTTCTGACACCTTTAGCCATATCTGAACACGAGCGCCAAACAAAGCTGATTGAAGAACAAAAACGGGCTATGGGTCGTCTCGAATCGCAACTTCAACGAATGGAAGTAGATTTGGATAATGCTCGTCGCGAATCAAGTAATTATCGAGCAGAGAATGCACAATTACGATCTGAAATTTCAGTCTTACAGCAATCCTCCACAAATGGCCCATACCATGGCTCTTCGTCTCAAACACTTGGTTATGGGATAACTGCGTCAGAACAACCGTCTCAGTTGCCCCCTATACGTAGCATCCAAGGCCCAGAAGTCATGAGTGGTGTGCAGTATCACCATGATCAGCGTTCGACTCACGCTTACTCTTCCACCTTGGATAATTTTTGAAAAACTTACCCCACCAGATGTGCCTTCAACTTTTGCACAATAAAATCTGACTCATCTTGACCTTATAGGTCTCATTTTTTCATCATCTCGGACTACTAGAAATCTGTCATTTTCTTCACCTGAATACGGCGCATGTTACACGGGAGAAAACATTCCTTTTTGCCATTTTATATTAAATATCTTTGGCCTTATGTATGAATATGTTGATTTTACTCTTACAGCGCGATGGGATTGGCTGGCAGGTTATTTTGACTGGTTTTTACCTATGCTGACGGTGACCTCGCACTGTAGCGGCGAACTTTAGGTCAAAAGTTTATTTTCTCGGAGTTGCGGTGTGATTTTTCAATTGGTGTAGGTGCGGAACAGCTTGAATTGGATTTAGGGGAAAAGTATGCTTGATCACGGAGTTTTTATGATACCCCAACCTGCGGCTATCTCTTTTGACCTCGAATCCTGTTGGATAATGCTCGGAAGTAGGATTGGATCGAAACAAAATTTGGTAGAATCCAGAATCAAAAGCCTGATGGGAAGTAGCAATTCTAAACTAAGTAGAGGGGAAGTTCAGACGGCATCTACAAAAAGACATGGTTGTGACAAGAGAAATTTGCGCTTTACCAATCTGCCCAAGGTCATAAGGATTAAACACTTGCTTTTCAAAATTTTAAAGCTCTAGCTCAGGATATATTTCGAATTCTATACACTGCAGTCTATGTTTGAGACCAAACTACATGGCATCGGCAGCTTTTGTAGTCATGAGAGCAGTCGATTCGATCTCACTATTGAAAAAGTACCTGCCTGCAATTTTTTTCTAGTGAGAAAAGGTTCTTGAATTCTTGGGACGGCTCGCTATAAGGTGCGGAGGTATCGGTTCATAATTAGTAGTCTTCCGACAGCTACATATCCTTGCTAGCAACGGGCAGTGGCGTGGGGCAAATATATTGAAGGCGGGGGCAGTGATGAGTACCCTGCACTCCAGACGTCGGTGGACCGCCGACAGTCTTTCATGAACCTTCCTGGAAATGGGTACAGGAGATTGCGGATCTAGCCTAACATCTTCTGCTTTGAAGCTGTGACACGCGTGTGGGCATTCACTCACATTTCGATGGCGAAGTCAGCTCGTGGGCATAGGATTGAAGAGCTAGCTACCTCGGACGAGCGGCCGAGGCCTGTCGAAAAGATAATATGCGATCAGTCATGTTAAGCCTTGTATCCCCCATCCGATGCCTTATCCTAATCCCCGTCAACTTTTGCACGGATGTGCAGATACTCGATGGGCCACGTGTCACATGAATCCGATGTGTGCGCGACGACAACGGTCTGCGGCTCGGCGATCCATACCCCATCATGGAGACGCCAAAGGTAGACATTGGCCAATCCTCAATGTGATTTGAACTAGTTAATGACGCTGACCGAACGCCGGCGAGTACCTGGTGTTTATGAAGAGATGTAATTTGAGAAATTGCGAAGGAATCGGCGGCAGAATCGGCTTGAGGCAGATTTGCATGTCGCCATGACGATCGTGCAGAAGATAGATATTTCTTGGGGGCCCTGCACACCGTGCGTAGTCCTTGCTGGGCCCGGAACGTTGCGCGAACAGCAAGCTCGCGGGTCCTGGCGCCCTGTCCGTGGACTCCTTGCAGCAGCGCAACACCTTGACCATACAGTAGGCAAACCCCTGCCGACTTGTGCACCCTAGACAGACAGATAGAGTCGCTGGCCAACTGGGCTTTAGAAACTCGCAACATCGACATTCTTTTGTACATTGTAACCCTACACGTAGGTTGCCTCATACCACCATAGGAGTGGTACTATTTGAGGGGAGCTGCAAAAGAGGCAAAGGATGGGATTTACTGCTAGATAGATATTCTTGGCCTGTAGGCAGAAAGGACCTGTATGTCTCATGTAGTCATAGACTAGGCCGGATGATGTACCATTGCACTATCCAACCATGGCGGTGTCTATAGAATCATCTGGCCTCTTGCAATGGAAGGGTTGTCGCGCACAATGCTCTTTAATCTGCAGAATTTCGTCGCAAGATTGAAACCCTCATATCCCTCGAGATCTTCTTTACCGCTTGCATCACCTGGTCCATGTATCCAGGTCTCTCATGCCTTCATCCCGAACAGCTGTCTCCTAGATTTGTGCACCTACGGGAATTCCGGTTGTCATTGGCGTGTATTTGGTGGCCGGCCAAGGCCAGAGACTGAGTCCACAAGAGGGGCTATCATTGAAGTGAGGAAGTAACACGTCACACTGGTAGACTTGATATGGCTTTGATCGGACCTGACCCTAAGGGGAAAGAATAGTTGGTGCGAGGAGTCTCGATGCGTTGCCTCGTGGGTCAACATCTTCGGAATCATGAAGTTTGGCTCAATTCGGCCCTAGGTAAACCGTTGACTCTTAGGCTCGTAGAGATTACTGCGAATAGGTGTTCAGCCTTTGTCGCCTACTACTATTTTTCATAAAGCAGTTTAGTGGATGTGTCCCACCAGCACCAGCTCACGATGCCGCTCATGCGAATTGTGGCCCAGGGCAACACACACTTAACCTTGTGCTTCGTTCCGTTGCAAATTTGCTGTGCCGAGCAGAGTCATGCGCTCTTTCATGGAAGTTTTCAAAGGATCAACTCGTTGCGTTCGCCATAAATCGGGCGTCGGGATACACTATGCCGATCTTGCCAGGATATAGACTGAGCGGTCCCGACCGACTGGTGTCTGCGAGCGGGGATTGTGCATACCCTGCACTTATGATATTACTGTCGTCCTAAGCGATCTCGCAGGGACCATGTTGTAGGAGTAAGTGAGTGAGTGTTTATTGTCCTTAAAAGTCTATAACTATGTAACGACATGTAGGTCCTTTCTGCCTACAGGCCGGGAGTATCTATGCCTCGGGTAGTGTACTCCCTCCTATGCCTCCTTCACGACTTCTTTCCAGCAGTAATACCCCCACAGGTCTTCATTCGAGTACACACTAAGAGGAGCCGTCATCCCGTCATTATCTCCCCTCTCCAGCCAACAAAACCATGGCCATTTGCGGGTGTATAGCTGCAGGGAAAAGTCTCAAAAACCACTGGGTGCGGGGCTCTCCTATGACAAAGAGGCCGGCCAGCCGGGCGCAGCAGACCTGTGTATACCTAAGAGCGTCTCTCAACCTTCCTAGCCTCCTCCTTACTCCTCCCCTGATTCATGCCGCAGGACAAATCGTAGGTCGTGAAAGGATGTCAGAAAAGTCTTGGTCGAGAGTGACCGTCGCGAAGGAGCCTAGCCTAGCATCCAAAAGTCGTTACGGACGTGGGGTCGTCGAGTAGCTCATGTATTTCAGTTGCCCTACTGGCTAGTAGATTCGGAATTTATGATTAGTAGGGACGATATTGTAGACGAGTCGAGATCTGCTTCTCTTGAGGTCGGTTGGGTCTTTTATTTTGCTTTCGTGGGCTTTTTGTTCGCCCGCCGGTGGGTAGCACATGTTGTAATGTAACAAGGGCTTCTCTGACTGCCGTTGTAGTGTTTGGTAGCGCATTATCTCTCCTCATTCCCAGTATCATTATCATCGTCTTGGTCGTCTTATGTGTTATCGGAAGCGTATGTTTGACGGAGGGGGAGATAACTTAGCTCAAAGTTGAAAAGGTGTTACTCAATCTCGGCTTTGTAGACTCTACAGTGAGAGCTGGAGGTTCGTAGGGGACACCACTGACAGGTGTTGAGAATAGTCCCCCATCTTGTGGGAGTATTTGGAGTCTGGTGCTCGAGTTTAGAAGAGTCGATTCCTTAGGATATATGATTGAAAAAGCTTCATTAGACCAACAGCCTCTCCGAACCAAGCAGCGCGCTCTATTTCGGCAAGGTTTCGGTAATTGACCCGGAGAACAATCTCCGCCTTATCCTCTGCTAGCCCTAGACGTGTCCGAAGGTCTTTTTTCTGAAAATCACCTGCTCGGTATTGGCTTGGATATCGACTATTGCTGTTGAGATGGCCCATCTGGAACGATGCACAGTCAGATGCCTTACAGCCCCGAGGTCTAAACATGGCGACTGTTGTAGTCCGCTGGCTGTTTCCATGGGAGAATGCCATCCTAACCTGCCCAAGTGGATCGGATAAATTTCCCCAAACACCCTTTAATTTGCCAGCTCGCGCTAGACCTGGCTCGCCTGCAAATGACCCAGGATATGGCTCTCGACATACCTTAGGCTCTTGCTTCGGTGGAGAGAACTCGCGCGTTAAACCGCTCGCTACGAGACACTAGTTTGAAAGGACGTCGGGCTAAGTTTTGCACAGCATGAAGGAAAAAAGGCCAAAGGGACAGGAATTGATGCACTTATTTCAAACATTAGTCCTTTACTTTCGCCCGAACATTGCCGGAGCCAGCGAGAGGTCGTGTTCACGTACAATTCCACCTTCGAGCGTAGAATGCTAAGATACTGTGATTGAATCTCCAGATTGTGGTCTCCGAGGCGCCGGAAATTCGAGTAGCTCTGTCGAGACTGGGCTATCACCTGCGCGAAGAATCCAAATTCTCTGAGCGCGCTTGACGTCAAACTTAGGACCAAAGTGTCGGTAAACTTCAAATGTGCAGATGTGTGGATCCTAAACGTAGTAGGCTACGTAATGTAACATAGAATACTAAATGCGGTTAGCCTATAATTAGTAAGCTACACACAAAGTGTAGATTTCGGAGTTGGGAGTTAGGAGGAAACATAGACAAATTTATTAGAACTCAAGCTTAACTATTGCATTCTGCGAAACTAGCTGTAGTAGAGCCAAGAGTTATAATTGTCACCATCCTGTTTCAACTGTGATCGATCGAAACCCACAAAAATATATATTTTTGTAGAGAAAATCTCAATTAAAAAAAAACGCCATTAATATTCGCTTTCATTTCACATCATAATGGTAGGCCTCACAAACTCGGAGCTCGAAGCCAAATTGAAGAAAGCCACCGCCGACCAGGTGGCGTTTCAGGAAGACACGACAAAGCGCTTCCAAAAATTGAGCAAGTACATGGAGAAGCTTGCGGAAAGGGCGGAAAGGACGGACAATTCAATCCAAGAACTGACCGAAAAATTAAAATTGACTTTTAGTGAGCTCCTGCACAGGGCGGACAAAACTGACAATGCACTCTTGCACATCTTGCAACAACTCTCTGTTATTGCCAACGCCAAGACTAGTGAGAGTCTAGCTACCAGCAGTCTACGTGCTACAGTTACGTCAACTCAAGAAGCCCCACCGCTAGACAAGGGCAAACAGAGACGACAAGTTTCGTCCTCCAACCAGGAAGCCTCCGCTTCATCGGCGGCGGTGCCCAAACAGGAACCACCGATACCGAAAGTCTCAGGCGAGTTCCCAACTTCCACGCAAACTGAAAGTCGACGCTACAACAATTAATCGTCGACTCAAATCCAGTTCTTCAACGCCCCACCAACTGCAGCCAACAACAAGTTCCTTGCCGACGGAACAATAAATCTCTATCAATCGGTCAACCCCCAAACCTCAGGTCTTAGCGATCAAGAAGTGCGGGTGAAAAGATACTTCCCGGATTTTTTTACGCGTAAGGAAGCAGAGAACCCTAATGGCCCTCTGCGCAAAGCGACGGAAAGGAACAAGGTAGTGTTCCCAAATGACTGGAAACTCTGGTTCGCTAATGAAGATACCCTGGGAATACTCTATCTGATGCAAGTCGGTATGGTTCAGTCAATGCTACCATATTCCGCCTGGCCGATGAGGGTCGCTTCTGTAATTGACCACGATTTCATTACAGCTAGAAGAGTTATTGCCAATGGTTCTTTAGACTGGTCAAGCACAGTTCAGTGCATCCTTAAGGTTTTACACAACAATAATGCCTTAAGCTCTCCTCTCACCACTTTTGCTAAACTTACCGCCAACAACAGTGAGACAACGTTAGACTGTGCATGCCATCTAAGGAAAGCTTTTTTCTTTCTCCAAACAGAAATGGTAGTGGGACCCCAGGCTCGAGATATATTAAGCCAACATGTCCGACAGTTCTTACCTCGGACATGGTCCACAATTAGTTCTCGAGCCCCGTCCCTTTCAAACGAAGAATTGGCCGACCATATTGTCCAATCTACTGAAGCCATTGCCCGTTGGCTGTTTGAAGATACCAACTTTCAGCATGGTCCCAGTCTTAGAAATTCAGCTGTTGAATCATCCCCACCTGTGCTAGGTCAGACAATAATAGATCCTAGGCTCCAGGGAAATAACGTGTTCCCCACATGCAGTACATTCGACGAAGGTGGAGAATACGCTGTAAAACCTCAACACGGCAACTGTTACAAGTGTGGAAAGCCAGGACATTGGTCCAAAGACTGTCGCTCGAATCCACCGCCTAAAAATCACCGTATCCAGCCAAATTTGTGTCGATTTCCAGCCCGCTCCAATTTCAGCGACGAACAGAAGAAACATTATGCAGCTATTAAGAAAAAAGGATTCAAGCGCTTCAGTCCCAACCAGAAATTGTATGTTGTCGAGCCCACGACTCCAGACAATGGCCATCAAAGAAGTCCTGCCGACACCATTGAACACGACAACGTTGACCAGGAACTAGAAGACTTGCTCACTCAAGTCCTTGCCGAGGAAGAAGTAGAATGAGGGTGCCAAGATGACTATGTTGTGGCAATAGGCTCAGGCTATACAAAAGCTACTCTCGACGAGGATACTCTTCGTGAGGGATGCGGAAAGCCACACAAAATTTTCCTTACATGTCTTTCAAAATTTCCTTCTGTTACCTTTTCTACTTTCTTCGATTATGGATCTTCCACTTTTTTTGTTTCCAACTCCTTGGCCACCAGACTTTTTTCCTATAATACCTCATTCATTTCTACGATTTCAGGAATTGGTGGAACGGGACCTACAGCCACCAAAGATGCCATTATAACAGTACAATTCCATATTCAACGCAGTAATAATCATTCCAAATGGACCAAATCAGTTACATTTTCTGCTGGAGTCGTCCCTGATAATACATTTCCCGCCGACCTTACTGTGGGCCAAACAGTTTTTCACGCTCTCAGATTACACTTTCTTTCTGACAAAACTATTCAACTTTCTAACTTGCAATCATCTCCAACTCTTTTTCCTTTTTCTAATTCAGATAATATCCATCATATTTTTACGACCAACTCTATCCCTCTCACGCCATAATGACACAAGTCAACACCAGCTAACGCATTTCCTTTTACCAGCTCTTATATTCACGACTTTCCTTCCATTTTTAAGAAATCTCTCCGAAAAACCGACCTTCTGTACAAGACACAACACGTCATAAATACGGGTGACTGTCAGCCAATTAAGCTCGCTCCAAGGCGCTACAGCCCACATCAGCTACAAGCAATCCGGGATTTTTGCAAAACCCACGTGGGAAGAATCATACAAAAAAGTCAAAGCCCGTGGGCAGCGCCATTGCAACTCACACCCAAAAAGACACCATCCAAGACAAATGAACAAATCTGGAGAATTTGTGTGGACTACAGAGAACTCAACAAGGTCACTAAGAAAAACACGCACCCACTCCTGAATGCTCAGGACGAAATACAGCGAGCTGCGGGACATAAATTCTACGCGTTCTTAGACCTAGAAAATAGATTCTGGCAAGTCCCAATGCATAAAGATTCACAAGAAAAGACAGCCTTTGTGTGTCACAGACCAGTTTGTGATATTGTATTGCACCTGGCCAACCGCCCCATGAATACACTCAGGAATAGGGTTAGTGCGTTGCGATGGTTACAGTGTTGTGATAGCAACAGTCACTAGTCAAGATACTGATCAGTTGCTATGTAACAGCTGTGGGCTATTGCACCCTTGATTGTAGTGACCGGTCTCAGGTACTGAAGGAAGCTCTTGGGATGTATTTGTACTGTAGCTTTTTGTCTTGTATTTTATCTACATCTTAGAATCTCGCCTCTGTCCTAAGTCCTAGTCTTCGTCTCTGTCCTAGTCTCTGTCCTATTCTACATCTCGTCCTCGTCTACATCTTGTCCTCGTCTACATCTTGTCCTCGTCTACATCTCGTCCTCGTCTACATCTCGTCCTCGTCTACATCTCGTCCTCGTCTCAATCTCCGCCCCAATCCCTCTCCTTATAAGTCTCCTGTCCTCTGACCCCTGACACGAGCCTCAATTACCTTCATTCATACCTTCGCATATTTGACATTTGCACCTTCGACCTTTGCACCTTCGACTTTCGACCTTTGACCTTCGACCTTCGTAACATTGTAACCTCGAACCTTCGATAATTTGTCTTCTTCGAAATCGACTCGACCTCTGCAGCTTAACAGCTTCGAAAATCTGCCAATAAGTAGATTCATAACACTTTGTTAGAACTCACATTGCAGACCTCGAGTCGAATTCGAAAAATTTGTTACCCTACTCAACATTTGTATTCGAAAAATTAGAAAATGGCATCCGGAGAATCATTGCATTCAGATGACCATTTATTTGAGAGCGAGTGGGAGAAATTAGCAAACATGATTGTGGAGATTCAGAGCCGGCCAATCAGCTCTTCTGCGCCTATTCCGATGGCTGTTCATCCCAGGATAAAGATGTTCTGTACTCAAGCCTTTGTAACAGGTAAACAAGCAGCGCATCGACCTGAGATCTTGGGACCACAGATTCTGTCTACAGCATGCAACAACCAGCAATTTTTGATGTATGAGTATTTTTCGCTCGGTTTAGATTCTGGTTGCATGATAGAACCTTCGACTTCGACACCCCATCAGCAGGGCAATAGACCCGATTTGTTTTTTGGAGATCGCAACAAGTTCAAGGCGTTCTCGAGGCAATTAGTACTCTGGTTTGGTCAAAATCCAAACAATTACAAACATGATAATGAGAAAATTAGTTTCGCTGCCAGCTACCTTCGTGGTGAGGCATTTGACTGGCTAGAGCCTTTTGTGAACGAATCCGACGGAAAAGTTCAATTTGATACCTTCACTGATTTAATGAATGCTCTGAGAGCATCATTTTCGGACCCCGATACCTATGCCACTTCGGAAAGAGAGATAGAAAACTTGAAGCAACACACATCTTGTTCGGCATACTTTTCTAAGTTTTCAGCGCTCATAGTGCAACTCGGCTGGAATGAAGATGCTGTAAAGATCCATCACTTTCGTCGTGGATTAAAGGATAAAATTAAGGACTTGCTAGTGGGAAGAGATGTCCCATCTACAATCAACAAATTTGCTACACTTTGCATAAAATTAGATAATCAGGAGCAAACACGAGCGCAAGAGAAAAATATGGGACCATCAAGACTACATATAAATTCTTCGAAGCCTAAAAACTCGTGTTCGTCTCCGCCTTTGTCCCAATCCGCCCCT